GTTTATCATGCAAGACAATGCATTCATTAATATAAACAAAAACCCACTAATGTCATCTTCAACTGCCAGCATGATCCAAATAATTTAGCTCACGTAAATTATTTTTGTTATATACGATAATAAATTCTCAAATTCCTTTGAAGAACAAAACAAAAATAATAATAATAATAATTAATTAATTTACATCAAAAAATTTGAATATATTTTTATGGTATTGTGATATTAATTTTTTTAGAATATTTTATAAGTACAAATACAATTAGTAAAGAAAGCAAGAAGGGAATGGGCATGTGATGTGAATGGGTCAATATTAGACAATCTTAATTAATTAGTTAATTAAAGAAAACTACGCACCAAATGGAGAGCGCGCCCACCGAAACCTCTGCGTCCTTCAGATATCCAGCAAAAAGTATTAGCGCCATAAAGTACCAAATCTCCAAGCTGCAACACCACATTACAAACTCCTTATTGATTATTACTATAATAAACAAAATCATTTTTATTTTATAATTTATAAATTGACTTTGAATGATGATTTTTGTTAGGGGCATTATTTTTATTTAAATAACGTAACGATTATCACATATTATTATTACGAATTGGATAAATATAATTATTACATATTTTAATTACATGCGTAAACAAAAAGATAAAAATAATTGAATTTGATCAAAATTTTATAAGAAGCTTAATAAAAAAAAAATTGTATGCATAAAATTGTGTTTTTAATACTACGAATATCGACAAATATTTCAAGGATTTTCTTCTCCACTTCAGAATTTTCTAGCAAACATATCGGAGTTTGGTCGAGTATATCCAGAAATAGTTAATTAGTTGGCAAATTTTCAACCTCTTTAAGACATGTCAAACTACTCTCGTTAAAAGTATTTTTATGCAAATGATCTTACTCTCCGATAATATAATTGAACATATCGATAAATTTATTAGAGACTTCATTTAAGAATTTCGGTTAAAATATTATAATACTAATAAGTTGAAATAAAATCATATTTACTAAATTAAGGAGGCTGGGGTATAGGGATCAAGTATATGTCATGTCAAAATAAAGTTTTCCTCATGAAGCTCAGCTAGCATCTTATTTTAGAATCTTCTACCTTTTGGATTCCAATCTTTAAAAGCCAAATACTTTCGTTTGAGATTGGTTGGTAATCTTGATATTTCGATTATTTATTATCTGAAAATATCTTATAAAATTTCTTAAAATCCTTCTACGAAAAATTAGATAGAACATTGGAATAAGTATAACACTAAATTTCGAAATGACTACTAGATTGACAGCTGTCTATTAGTACTTCTTTTTAATTTCTCTATCCAACATGATCAACTGGAGAAACCAGTGTCAGATTATACCTCTCTTGATGGTGCATGAAAGTGGGAGCAATTAAAAAGTAAATGAAAATCACGACTATATGGATTATCTAATTGTCGTTGGAACACCATGTTAGTTGCAACATCGCTTAGTCAGTGGCTAGTCCTTAGCCCTAGTACTTTCCACTCGGTGGGGTGGAAAGATCCTCTCTTTTGTTGGTTTAAGATCAACACTGACGACTTTATTTAGGAGGATCTAGCACCTATTTTTACTGAAAGCTTAATCCGTGAATATAGGGGCCACAGGTGGATGGCTTTATGCATAATATTGGCATTTGAAACACGCTTCAAGTAAAGTTCCACCTAGAACACAGTATTGAGGGTCTCAAGCACATCTTTTTACACCTCAAGCACATCTTTTTAAATTATGTTACTCACTATAATATGAACTTAAGCTTCCCTTCTAAGCTTAAGTTGCTTCTTTAGAATGAGCATGACATTCAAATTTCTCATACCCACATGAAGAGAACAACTATGTAAAGTTTTTTAAGCCCACGACTTACCTTTTGGACTTCCTAGACTTCACTTAGATTGTTGTAATATTGTTTGCGGTAGGTTGAAGAATTGCTAGTTTTTTTTTTTTCTTTTTGTGGTATAAAAATAATACAATTAATTAATTTGTAATAAGAAACTCCTCTTAATCAATATATATATATATATATAATATGAGAAAATGTCACATTTTTTGTCTTTTAAAAATAAATAACAAACACATAAAGAACTAAAAAATATCACATGGCATTTTTTTCATTTTTATAAAATAAAAATAATAATAATAATAAATAAAATATAAAAATAAAAAGTTGATGTAATAAGTATAATTATATATATTAAACAAAAACAAAATTTTAAATATTATCTACTCAAATGTTAAAAATAATATAAATAAAATATATAATAATTATCTATCTAAATTTTTAAAAGATAAAAATAAAATATATTTTTTAATATAAATAACACATTATTATAAAAATATAATATAATATCTAATTAACTACACGTAACTTTTAAAATGGGAATATGCGGGCCCCAACAGCTGCCGCAGTCAGCACAAATATGAAACAGAGACGGAACCTAGCAACGGTTGAATGGAAATCAATACCGCTACCTACCAGTAGCATTTACATGGCGTATGAAAGTGTGTCATCTATACATCTACCCAGTCTTCCCTGTAATTTCATTTTCTTTTTACTTCAATTTCTACATCATATTCTCTTTTACTAAAAAAATAATAATTGTGCACTTAATATGATTGATTGATTGATTTTCCATCCGTAAGCATAAAAATAATTGTGCACTCAATAAATTACTAGAAGACAAAACGTTAAATGATTCTGTGATTATGTATAGTTGGCCATCTTTCTTTCTAAATTATCATAATTAATCATATTTTTAATATTAAACCTCATTATTAACCGTATAATTTATTCTACAGAATTAAAAATGAATCTAAAATCACCTCAAATCTTGATGAATGAGAATCAAATGCGAAAATAAGAGGGCAATCAGTGAAGAGAGAGAAATTAAAGTGAAGGAAGATTTGGGTTCGAGAACTTCATGACTCACCAGAGCATCACGGCCGACGCCAGAGATAACCTGACGAAACCCCATAGATTTTGAAAAGCTTTCAACGAAAGCCCAGACCAGGCTTGGCCGCAAGACCCGCTAATGATATACACCAACTGAGTCACAACTATGAACCACCACGAAGCGTTTAGAACCACCGCCGCACCCACCAGACCCCATCCGAGTTTCAGCATAAAAAACCAGCTGAACAGACTATGCAAAACGAGCGCCAGCGCCGCTATCACCGCCATCACCATGATCTTGCTCTGCGCCTGCAAGAACTTCGATATTGGGAAGTTCAC